TAATTTTTACCTGCTATATCTCGTGTGGGAACTTACATTCGCCCAAAATTTTAACCCTTAGTATTATACTTATGGGTAGAATTAATAACATTAATAAAAGKCGTAATAATTTAAAAACGTTAGTTCCAACTGTGCATTCTAATTTGTATATATTTATTGAAAAATTCAAGTATTGTAAATAAGTAATAAGTTCAGTGGAAAGAATAAAAATAATTTTAATTTAAGCAATACATATACATAGTTTACTATGTAACATTGTATATTTGTATTAATATTATACTATGTATTAATAACGGTAGTCAGAAAAAAAAGCCAAGAAAAAATCCACGGGAAAAATAAGCCATGGTAAAAAAAGCCAAATAACAATAATTAAATATATAACAATTAAAATTAAAGTATTAAATTAGGTATTATTTAAAAATTGTTTAAACATTATTGGTCATATATATATATATATATATATGTATTTAATTATTAATACACAGGTAATATTATAATATAAACAATTTTATTTTTACATAATATGAATACGGACTATACAGTAGACCAACTGTGTTAAAAATTTAAAATTAATTAACATAAACCCTGTGTATTAATAATTATATATATATGTATTATGTATACAATATTATGACCAATGTTTAAAAATTTTGAATAATACTTTAAATTTTATTATTTATATATTTGATCAATTATGTATAAACAATTTTTAAATAATACCTAATTTAATACATTAATTTTAATTGTTATATGTTTAATTATTGTAATTTGGCTTTTTTTTCCGTGTCTTTTTTTTTTTCCTACATTCATTAATAACATATGCATTTTTCAAGTTTTATTTATCAGTGGTTGTTTTTTTAAATTAAAATTATGTTCATTGTTCAGTGTATTTTTAAAGTAAGAATAATAATATTACTGTTGGCGAAAATATTTTCGATGGTTGTGCGCCGGCCGGCGAAATGTCAAATTTGAAATTTCCATATTATAAACATTTCAATGTGTTTTTTATTAGGCAACACTGTAAGACTGATAAGAGGATGAGTAGCAAATCAGTACAACCTTAGAATATATACATATATTTACATATAAGATATAACGTATTATTAATTTTTATCGCTCAGTGTCCTTACGGAATATTCATTCATTTCATCCAGTATTAGTATTCTAGTATTCAACTGTTCAACACTAATCAGCGCTCACTGTTCACCGACCCAAGACTCTCGAACCTGTGTTAGTTAATCATTACTTACTATTAGTCATCACGAATTAACTGTTATTGTCGGCTTATATTGTGCTAACAGCTCTTGGACGTCTGTACCTCAGACTTAACGTTAGGTAGGGAAGTCCATATATGAGTCACTGAATCAGACAGCTACGAGTACGTCGTTCCTTTGTTTCGCACAGATTTTTTCGATTTAAATTAGTGAAATTTTCCGTCACAACATTAAGTATGGCGACCACGTCGTTGTTGGCGGTGCCCACTAAACGGGCGTCTGAAGTGAACATAGTTAAACCTTTGCGGAACTTGATATCGTCACATTACAACTCGGCTGACAATCCGGAAGACTACACAGAAGCCATCAATGAACTTAGCAAACTCCGTAGCCAGGCGCTTTGGAAGGTGTTAGACAAATATGACAACTCTCTCGAACTAATATACAAGTAAACCAGCATAATTCGATTTTAATAACTATTATTACTAGTAGTGTACCAAGGTAGTTTATGTATTATGTTTTTGTTTACAGCTATTATGATCAGATAACTTCATTAGAATCAAAAGTGCCGCCATCTGAAGTACAGATTCCTTTCAAGTGGAAAGATGCGTTTAATAAAATGACATCATTCTTTGCCAATGGAAAAGTCAGCATAAGTACGTTCAAACTGTATGATGCCTACACAAATTATTTTATATCAGTTTAACTTGTTATTTACTATTTTAATGTTTATTTTATAATTTTTAGCTCTCTGTTCATTTGCTTATGAGAGAATATGTGTACTATTTAATATAGCMGCTCAACAAAGTGCAATAGCATCTGCTCAAAATTTAGAGACCGACGATGGATTAAAAATGGCTGCTAAACTTCTTCAAGTAAATAAAATAATAATCTTTTTATTTTATGATTTAAGTTGAATGTTATATTGTTAGAATTGTTTCCCATATTATTATCATAGTTTCTTACTTTTGTTTATCTTACTATGAGTTTTCTTACTCAAGTTGT